GTTTATGTTCAAGAATTTGGGTATAGTAAGTACTGACTTAAGTTTAGTTTTGAATTATGTGAGTTTATTTGTGGGGTCTATAGCGGATTAAGAATTACGGTATATAACATCATATGGTTTATGTTCGGGGGTTTGAGTATAGTAAATAGTGGCTTGAGTTTAGTTTTAAAACATGTGAGTTTATTTTCAGGGGTGTATAGTAAATAACAATTTTTTTTTCTATATTGTTTTCCATTCTATAGTATAGTTTGATCGATTTTTTTTGCAACATCTTTTCTCTTCGTTTCTGGCTCCTCTGCCTCTATAAGTTCTTTTCATATGTTATAATATTATATTTAGACGGTATAGAACAAACAAACTGAATAAAGAAATATCTGAAATAAGGGTTTTTTCGTCCAAGAAAACAGTATTATGGTTATCTAATTAATTTTGAAAATCTTGTGGCTATATACATTATTTTTCTATCCAATATGTATATTCACCTAAAAGACTCATTTAAAAATATGATAAATAACATTCAATACAATCCAATATTACATATAAAATAGACCTTTTAAACAAACAAATATTTCAGTATCACTAATTATATATCTTAAAATTAGGATATAAAAACAAAATGTATGAAATAGATATATGTGATTGAAGTCTGCTCAAGAAGTCTACTCGAGAAGTCTACTCGAGAAGTCTGCGATTGAAGTTTGCTTCCAATAAAACCAAAATTAAATTAAATAAGCTCAGATTTGCATAATAAGAAAAAAAAAATGTTGAAATTCAGATTTTAACAAAATCTGCTATATTTACAAACATTATATCTGCAACAAAATAAATAAAAAACAGCTCTGCAACAAAAAATTCCAGATCTACAACAAAATAAACAAAATTCATATCTGCAACAAACAAAAATTCAGATCTGCAATAAAAAAAAATTCAGATCTACAACAAAATTTTACAAAATTTATACAACAATAAGCGTATATTTGTAAATATAAACTCAGACCTACAATAATAAGCTCAAATATGTAATAATAAGCCCATATTTACATTATGAAGCAAACAACAAAAGGAACACAAAACCTCAGATTTGCTTACCATTACTATAATCAAGATAGAGAGGATGGAGATGAGGTTGATGGCAAGAGAGAAAGGAGAAGAAATTCATGGCCAGAGAGGAGATAGGGGAGAGAGGCATTTTTTAGAGAGAGAAAAAAAAGTTTATTTTAACACAATTAGGTTAAACTCTCCTTATATATGTAGGAAATTTTTTGGTTAAGTATACTTCTTAAGAAATCTACTGGAGAAGTCTACTCGAAAAGTCTACTTTAGTATGTTATTTTTCATTTCAATTCCCGCCCAATTTGTTCTGATTCCCACCCAATTTGTTAAATCATTTTGATTTTCCGCTACGTTATTTTTTGAAGCCTACTGGAGATGTCTACCCGAGAAATCTAGTGCATAAGTTTGTTTACCCTAAACCCTAAATCAATTATTTTTGATTTAAACTTGTATCAAAACATTAATTTTCTTACTATTTTGACATTTTAAAGTTCAAATAACAATGATATAGACTCTAAATCATTAACCAAACCATAAACTATGATTCATATAGAATTTGGGTTTACCGTAACAATACCATAAACTTTACACCTCAAACCCTAACCCTTTTGAACTTCAAACCCTAACCCTTTTCGACCTTATACTTATGAAACTTATATATTGATTTATTTTTATAAAATTTTATTTAATATAGATGCCAATTGTCTATATTTTGGTTATGTTTATAATTTTTGTATCTTAATATTTCATATAATTTTAATAAATAAAATTTAAGATTTAGTTATCTAGTAGACTTCTAAGGGGTTGTTTTGATTTCTAATTAATTTTCCTTTCTACATTTAAATTTATTCATTTGTATGAAATTTTGTATTCTATACATGTCACATATATTTGTCGTACTTATGTTTACCAGTTTTTTTTGTCTTACTTATGTTTAAAATTAATTATGTGGTAAACTTCTTGTGAAGTCTACTTATGTAGACTTGAAGTCTAAAATAGTAAACTTCTTACGTAGATTTCTCAGGGATAAAATTATAATTGTGGCAGATATTTTTTGTTTATTCATAAAGGATTGAACTGTAATTTCACTATCCCCTTATATTGGTTTTGCCAAACATTCAGTAAAAAGTCTAAACTTCTTAAAAAATCTAACTTTTAGGCTATTTTCAGCGATTTTCTCTATTATAAATTCATGTATAAAACATATGTATTTTATATTCCTTGTTGGGGTAGGTTTTCATCCTAGCGAGATCAATGGGAAAATGACTAAGTATAGAAGTGATTCTTGGCGATGCCCAGAATTTGCACGGGCGAAGCCGGTCACCTCGTCCAAACCGTGCACGGGCGAGGTGAACCGTGTAAAATCCGGGCGAAGCCAATCATCTCGCCCAAACCATGCACGGGCGAGGTGAACCGTGCAAAACTCGGGCGAAGCCAATCACCTCGCCCAAACCGTGCACGGGCGAGGTGAACCGTGCAAAACTCGGGCGAAGCCAATCACCTCGCCCAAACCATGCACGGGCGAGGTGAACCGTGCAAAACTCGGGCGAAGTCAATCACCTCGCCTAAACCGTGCGCGGGCGAGGTGAACCGTGCAAAACTCGGACGAAGCCAATCACCTTGCCCAAACCGTGCACGGGCAAGGAAACTTCTAATCAAGCCCGGAGGCGAAGGCCCATGAAGCAACAAGGCGAAGGCCCATGAAGCAATAAGGCGAAGCCCCGAATCAGACCCAAGGCGAAGCGATGTGCAAGTGGGCCGAGCTTAAATCCACGAAGAAGTCCGAAGCGGTGTTTACCCTAGAAGACGAAGCCTTGAAGAAGGGGGCACCGCGAAGGGGATAAGGAAGGATGATCTACGCAAATATACTCCGAGATCTTCGTTTAGATTGCGACTAGGAGTTGTATAAATAGAGAGTTTAACTCATTAGCGCGGGACATCTTTTCCGACCTAGCAAAAAACTTAGCAATACTTGTACCAAAAGCTTATCTGAGCAGCACTAATAAAATCACCATCTTTGGATCCTTGTTCTCTCGTGTTTTAACTTAGAATCTTTACATCCTCTTTTATTTTTAACAGACAAATTCTATTGTGTGAAATCCAGCCCACACATTCCTTTAAACAGGTTCTCAGCTCTTGTAACTACAGAGGTCCCAATGTTTTAATCTGTATCAAAGCAAATAAATAAAGAACTAAACTAAGCATAAGATAATAGAATTGGAAACTGAGCATAATAATGAAACAAAAGAAGTATAAAGAAACACAGTAAACCTTTCTATTTTTTATGGGTTTTGTAAAAATTACATAGCAATTTGTCGACTTGCAGATAATTAACTAAAAATAATCATATACTATGTAATAACCAGCACCCTGTGCAGGATAAAATAATAATTATTTATTTAATATAGTATAATTTTAAAATTATATAACAAAATACAATTGATTCTATATGAGTTGTTTATAACATTATGCTGAAATATTGACAAAATAATTTTTTGTTTATTTTATGAATTTTAGGGTAATTTAATTATAATGTAAATTAGTTTAAAAATTAAATATACATGCGCAATCTGGATAGAAATACGAAGTCCCTCTTTATATTTTCTATAACCCATGATTAATAACATGATCTTAAAATTCAAAAACAAAAATAGAGGGAGTATATTTTGATTAAATTATTAAGTATCTAATGCGTTATGATAATAATAATAATAAAAATTTACTACTTCCTCTATTTTATAATATTAGTTTTTTAAAGGTTTTGTTTTGTTTCACAATATAGTTATTTTCATATTTTTTACTACTTCTTATGAATACTATGTGACCGATTATATTTTTCACTTTTTCATAATTAGTTGAATTATATTTAATTTATATGCTAAATGATTACTTTTTTAAAAGAAAAGTTGTTTTTTAATCTTTGTGTTTTGATGCAAAACAAATTATATTTTGAAATAGAGAGTATTAAAATTGTAAAAATAAAATTTAATTATAAGATTTTATAATCGATTTTAATATTTTTTATACGAATGTAAATGCATGTTTAGATTAATCCGCAAAAACTATAATCATAAGAATATTAACTTTTAAGAAAAGAAAATTACTGTGAAATTTAATTTAAATACTAAATATACATAAAGATTATATAAAAATAGATTATATTTTTTTATTATTTTTAATAAATTATCTAAAATTGTTTATAACTGAGTCAATACTTATACATTCTAAACTTTTGAATTCAATAAAAACATTTTAAATATCAAAAATTTTAATAAAATTATTATATAATATCCTTACAAAAATATTTTAATTTTCACCAAGTTATTTTGTTGTATAAATTAAAAATAATAATATCTATTAAATTAAGCTTCCTGTTTTTTTTCATTTATGTATTTTTATATTGATTTATGAATCATCTATCTACACATCCTTATTTTCAATTTTAGTCTTTTAAAACATACTTTTATTTATTAATCATTTAAGTAATTTATATTTGTTTTATGAAATTCGAATTACAACACAGAATATATATATATATATATATTTTACTATATGAATGATGTGATGATTTATTTTTCTATAAAAATAAGAGATAATATATAGTATTTAAAGAAATAATTAATATGATATATTTTTGGTAAGAAATAGAAAAAGAGAATATCTTGATGAATCATCATCAATATAACTGATATAAACTAATTTATAACCAAATTAATGTGAGTGACATAACATGTAATTAATCTAGTAACATAAGTCTATTTTTATAACTTTGCTGAGAATGATTCTGGTGATGATACATCAGCAAAATGGCACCACTGTAATATTTTACAAAATTAAGGTTATTCTTTAAAAATATCTCTTTTAATATATATGGGGGATTAGTAGCTTGATTAATTGGGTAGATATGTAAGATGAGATTCTGTAGATATGTTAAAAAGGAAATATTTTTTTATTTTCATTAAAAAAGAAGCTGAGACAATGTTGAAACTAGCTCTAGAAATAGATTTTAGCTCCTTTACCATCATCTCTTTCTCGTCAAGATTGAAGGTTGATACCAAAGTGATTGTTACTTTCTTTAGACACTTGGAGTTTGCAAGTATGTATCTCATGAGCTCTTTCTCTTCTTCACTCCCGCTATATTTATTCCACTCAAAGAACTCTATACTGGTAGACAAGCATCTGGGAACAAAACTAGTTTGGTTCCATGACATGGGGAGATTACCGGGCTGATATCCTCTTACCTAGATCAACAGATCAAATCTAAGAGTTGTAATCAAAGAATCTGTGTTATGCAACAAATATATTTGCGGTGTTACTTACAGAACGGATTTGTAGAATCTGTAGTTTAGGAGACTTGTTGAGAATTAGTGGAATATTAGATCCAACCAGAAATGCCCTGACGCATATAGTATGAACCATTGAAGCCGAGAGAAGGCATTGCCACTAAAATCCAGAACCTGAAATGACTAATATAACAAAAAATATAAAAGGAATGTGATGACACTAACAACGCAATGGGAAGAAAGAGTTTATCGATACCTTGGGATCGTTCAAAAGTAAACCGAGATTAGTGAGCAAGGAAATACATCTGTGAAACTTGTCATGAGCATGACAAAGAACAAAGATATGTGGCTTATCATAACGAAACATATTCCACGTCGGGAGAGGGTCTCTCTTCCTATCCGTGATACCGAGGTACACTATCGATCGAGCAAGAACTGAGCAACTTGGTAATAGCTTGACAAGTGAATATTCGTCTTTGTAAACAACCAAGATAAGCCGCAATATTTTGATAGAGGGGAGGCAAGCTGAGGGAGGAACATCCACCAGGATCTTGTTGGAAAGTGTCAACCCCACAAGCGTTTTGCTGGTGTAAAGGCTCTTAGGTAAGCTAATAGGCTCTGCTGTCCAAAGAAGCTCTAAGTCTAGCTTGCGCACCAAGCGATCAACCGCATTTGCAACCCATTTTCTAAAATCTGCATTAACAAGAAACCTTTGACCGATTTGGATACACAAAGTTTCTAAGAAAGGTGCTTTGTGAAGTTCCAATGACTTTTCAAGAAACTTCCAAACGCTTTCGCATCCATCATCATCGGTGTATTTGTACTCGAGTTTAGGCACCACCGTCCAGAGAAAACACCATCGTTTTGATAAGACCATGGTGGCGACTGCATCTTTGGTCGAGATTGCGCAATCTATGTGAGATTAGTCGTCACCATGGTCTTATAAAAATTAAATATACATGCGCAATCCGTTTAGGAAACGTTTCCGAGCCGTCCCCGACAAGTCCTGTCTCTGAAACGTTACGGGTACGAGAAACGGCACCTAAATGACGTCCATGTGCATCATAGGAGACAATCATCAAAATCTGGATGAGCAAATCGTTGGGCAACGCACTGATCCTGTCTCTAGAAACAACAACTTTTTCGATTATTTGGCAACGTTCGGCGGGGTCTGGCGATGACATAGAGTACCCTAAACCCTTTGTGTATCTTCTCGTTGATGTGAGAACGAACTCTGTCTCACGAGAAGTAAACCCTAGTTTAGTTTGACCCTGAAGTAATATCGGGTTACGCATCAATACGGGTTTTGATCCATTTTACCGGATATATAATTAGCGGGTTTTGCCATTGGACCCGAACCGGATTAATGACTGGGTATCGAATTTACCGAACGGACCACACGGGTCCGTGTCGGAAACATTGACAACTTCTAAGGTGTTCAATCCGGAAGACCAAATAAATAAATACAAATCAAAATAAGCTAACGATTCCACTCTTGTATTCCACCTTAAATCTCATTTATATAAAAAGGATAGATTTCCTGCTCTCTAAAGGGTGCCACATAGACAAAAATAATCAACCAATAAGAATATAACAAATTGCCACATCGTTAAATTATAAAAAAACTAACCAATAAGACAATATACCATATCCGCAAAAATAATTAACAAATAGTAGATTTCAAAACTGTTATGTCATCTTCTCCAAACAATAATTTAAAGTCATTTTATTAAATAATTTATTAATCAAAATTTTTTCAAATTTTACCTAAAAAAATCTTCTATAATTCATAAATTCTCAATAAAAAAACAAAGCAAAAAAAAAAAACTGAAAACGAATTACACTAAAACTCAATTATAAAGCTTAAACAAAAGCTTAATTTATGGAGTCATCGTCTTCTCGGTTTCCAATCATCTCGCATCTGACTCACCAGAAACGGAATCAGCCGTCATTAAACACAAATTTTACTTATTAATTAATGACAACCAAACTGGTGATAAACAATAAGACTTAAATTAAGTGGAGCATAAATATTTGGATATCCAAAAGACATAGCAATAAGGATGTCAAAAAAAAAACATAGGGATGAGCGACATATGGTATAAATAATACACAACTCTATCACAAATGAAGTTTAATGTGTCTCATGCTTGAAATTGTTGTAAGCAACATAAAAATCCAATCTCACAACTGTTTTGCATTTATATTTATAATGTGAATCAAGTAGAATGAGTCTGAATCATAGTATTGTTGGAACTAGGGAACGTCTTTCTCGCCAAAAGTAAAATTTAAGGAGCGACTCAGTTTTCTTTCGTCTAGAGAAAATTAATTTATACAATTGTAACTTTTTGACTTATAACAGATTTCAAGTTTCTAAAGCTGATATAGAGTTCCATATTGTTCATTGTAATCCGATATTGTAGAAAAACTGAAGTAAAAACCTAACTAAAGAACCGGTGATTAAAGACAGTTACTCACTGTTTCTTAATTTTTATTTGCAAAATTTCATGAAACATAAAACTGAAAAGATTTTTTTTTCAAATAACATATAACGATAAATTCCACACTCTTCACCAATATTGAAAAATGATTGAGCTAGCTAAACTATCAAACAAATATTATATCAATCAATAAAGAACTCATATAATAAAAAAGTTTATTATTAATTGCCATTTGTTTTCTTCGTTGAATATATGAACTAATTATAAAACATCTATGTACATAATGAATCTTAAAAAAAATGATAAGTAGAGAAATGCATACTATATGAAAATTAAAAACAAAATCTTAATACACAATATGAAACAAAAATGGAGTAAGGATTGAGTTTTTCTTTTTAAAAGTATCAAGCGAAAGGGAAGCTTATGCAAAATATTTTTGAAAATATAAAAAAATACTCATGGTGTTCACTAAAGAAATAGCATTATAACATAAGATGTCCAAATTTAGACAATATATTTCTAATATAATGTATAGTTCATGTGGATACTATTTACATAAACAAAAAATATAACAAAATTACAAATCAAATTATTATACAAAAATGTCAAACTTTACCCTTCATATTTGCAAAAACATGCATTAACTCTTAAAAAAAAGTTTAACTAAGCCAAAAAGTATATTAATCTACTTTCAAATTATTATACAAAAATTTCGATCATCTTTTCACATATATATATATATATACATCCTTCTGATACTTACTTCGCTCGATTATATCTAAGAATCACATGCAAATATACTACTCTATAATTTATCACAATATTAAACACAAAATTAATTGACAACCTTTTATAAAACTACAATATAACTATGTCATCTTCTCCAACCAATAATTTAAAGCCATTTTATTAAATAATTTATTAATCAAAATTTCTTCAAATTTTACCTAAAAAAAACTTTTATAATTCTTAAATTCTCAATAAAAAAACAAAGCTAAAAAAATGAAAACGAATTACACTAAAACTCAATTATAAATCTTAAACAAAAGCATATTTTATGGAGTCATCGTCTTCTCGGTTTCCAATCATCTCGCCTCTGACTCACCAGAAACGGAATCGGCCGTCACTAAACACAAATTTTACTTATTACTCTTTTATATAAAAGGGATAGGTTTCCTGCTCTCTATGGGGTGCCACATATGCAAAAATAATCAGTCAATAAGAATATAACAAATTACCACATTGTTAAATTATAAAACAAAATTAACCAATAAGAATAAGACAATATACAACATCAGCAAAAATAATTAAACAATGGTAAATTTCAAAACAGCTATGTCATCTTCTCCAACCAATAATTTAAAGCCATTTTATTAAATAATTTATTAATTAAAATTTCTTCAAATTTTACCTAAAAAAATCTTTTATAATTCTTAAATTCTGAATAAAAAACAAAGCTAAAAAAAACTGAAAACGAATTACACTAAAACTCAATTATAAAGCTTAAACAAAAGCTTATTTTATGGAGTCATCGTCTTCTCGGTTTCCAATCATCTCGCCTCTGACTCACCAGAAACGGAATCAGCCGTCACTAAACATAAATTTTACTTATTAATTAATGACAACGAAACTGGTGGTAAACAATAAAACTTAAATAAGTGGAGCATAAATATTTGGAAATCCAAAAGACATAGCAATGAGGATGTCAAAAAAAAGACATAGCGATGAGCCACATATGGTATAAATAATACACAACTCTATCACAAATGAAACAAATTGTCACATCGTTAAATTATAAAAAAAAACTAACCAATAAGAATAAGACAATATACCACATCAGCAAAAATAATTAATCAATGGTAGATTTCAAAACTGCTAGGTCATCTTCCCCAACCAATAATTTAAAGTCATTTTATTAAATAATTTATTAATCAAAATTTCTTCAAATTTTACCTAAAAAAAACTTTTATAATTCTTAAATTCTCAATAAAAAAAACAAAGCTAGAAAAAACTGAAAACGAATTACACTAAATTTTAATTATAAAGCTTCAACAAAAGCTTATTTTATGGAGTCATCGTCTTCTCGGTTTCCAATCATCTTGCCTCTGACTCACCAGAAACGGAATCAGCCGTCACTAAACACAAATTTTACTTATTAATTAATGACAATCAAACTAGGGGTAAACAATAAAACTTAAATAAGTGGAGCATAAATATTTGGAAATCCAAAAGACATAACAATGAGGATGTAAAAAAAAAGACATAGCGATGAGCCACTTATGGTATAAATAATACGTAACTCTATCACAAATAAAGTGTATTGTGTCTCATGCTTGAGATTATTGTAAGCAACATAATAATACAATCTCACAACTGTTTTGCATTTATATTTATAATGTGAATCAAGTAGAACAATTCTGAATCATAGTATTGTTGGAACTGGAGAACGTCTTTCTCGCCAAAATTAAAACTTAAGGAGCGACTCAGTTTTCTTTCGTCTAGAGAAAATTAATTTATACAATTGTAACTTTTTGACTTATAACAGATTTCAAGTTTCTAAAGCTGATATAGAGTTCCATATTGTTCATTGTAATCCGATATTGTATAAAAACTGAAGTAAAAACCTAACTAAAAAACCGGTGATTAAAGACAGTTACTCACCGTTTCTTAATTTTTATTTGCAAAATTTCGGGATATATTTCCTACTCTCTAAGGGGTGCCACATAGGCAAAAATAATCAGCCAATAAGAATATAACAAATTGCCATTTCGTTAAATTATAAAAAAACTAACCAATAAGAATAAGACAATATACCACATCAGCAAAAATAATTAACTAATGGTAAATTTCAAAACTGCTATGTCATCTTCTCCAACCAATAATTTAAAGTCATTTTATTAAATAATTTATTAATCAAAATTTCTTCAAATTTTACCAAAAAAAATCTTTTATAATTCTTAAATTCTCAATAAAAAAACAAAGCTAAAAATGAAAACGAATTATACTAAAACTCAATTATAAAGCTTAAACAAAAGCTTATTTTATGGAGTCATCGTCTTCTTGGTTTCTAATCATCTCACCTCTGACTCACCAGAAACGGAATCAGCCGTCACTAAACACAAATTTTACTTATTACTCCTTTATATAAAAGGGATAAGTTTTATGCTCTCTAAGGTGTGCCACATAGGCAAAATAATCAGCCAATAAGAATATAACAAATTGCCACATTGTTAAATTATAAAAAACAACTAACCAATAAGAATAAGATAATATACTACATCAGCAAAAATAATTAACCAATGGTAAATTTCAAAACTGCTATGTCATCTTCTCCAACCAATAATTTAAAGCCATTTTATTAAATAATTTATTAATCAAAATTTCTTCAAATTTTACCAAAAAAAACTTTTATAATTCTTAAATTCTTAATAAAAAACATAGCTAAAAAAACTGAAAACGAATTACACTAAAACTCAATTATAAAGCTTAAACAAAAGCTTATTTTATGGAGTCATCGTCTTCTCGGTTTCCAATCATCTCGCCTCTGACTCACCAGAAACGGAATCAGCCGTCACTAAACACAAATTTTACTTATTAATTAATGACAACCAAACTGGAGATAAACAATAAAACTTCAATAAGTGGAGCATAAATATTTGGAAATCCAAAAGACATAGCAATGAGGATGTCAAAAAAAAGACATAGCGATGAGCCACATATGGTATAAATAATACACAACTCTATCACAAATGAAACAAATTGCCACATCGTTAAATTATAAAAAAAAACTAACCAATAAGAATAAGACAATATACCACATCAGCAAAAATAATTAACCAATGGTAGATTTCAAAACTGCTATGTCATCTTCCCCAACCAATAATTTAAAGCCATTTTATTAAATAATTTATTAATCATAATTTTTTCAAATTTTTCCTAAAAAAAACTTTTATAATTCTTAAATTCTCAATAAAAAAAAGCTAAAAAAACTGAAAACGAATTACACTAAAACTTAATTATAAAGCTTAAACAAAAACTTATTTTATGGAGTCATCGTCTTCTCGGTTTCCAATCATCTTGTCTCTAATAATAATTCACATATTGTAGACCCTTGATTTACTGTTTTTTTATATTGTATCATTCTCTCCCTCTTCAAATGGTTTTGTCCTTAAAACTCTCTTTTTTATTTTTTTATTAACTTTTTTAGCAAATATTATTTAGAAAATAAATAAAACCTTTTTATTTTATGTTTTTTTAAACTGAAAAAATCGAAATAAATAAAAACATAAATAGAAATAATGTTTTTTGTTTTTTTAATGAAAGAAACAAACTTCAATTGAATTGTTTTATGGGTTATTATTTTTTTGTTAACAAAAAAAATCATAAATAAAAGAACAAAAACATTAAACTATTTTTCTGATTTTTTTTTAAGTTTATAAAATTTAAAAATAAAAACAACCAAATTTTGTTTGAATGAAATTCTTGATAAAACATGAAACAAAAACAAAAATATAAAAGATAGAGGATATGAGCTTTTAGCTCTGATACCAAATGATATAAGATCAAGGGAGTATGATCTTATAATGCTTGGGTGAATGGGTGGAAGCAAGCAGCTGGACTGAAGTGTCATTCTACTTGCTCAAGAGATGATCGAAGTGGATGGTTATGGGATCAATCCTGCTGGACTCAAGTCTCTTTCAGGCTGGATCAGTGGATGAGATGAATAGATGGGTGGATCGAAGAACGCCACCCAAGGGTGTGAAAGTCCATGTGATGAATTCGCAAACCTAGTCTCAAGGCATCGCACACAAAAGACAAAGATTCAAATGTTTACTAAGTGAAGAATTCCATCTTGCTTAGATAAACAAAAACAAAGCCAAAGCTTTAGAAAAATGTCTCTTTTAATTTCCAAAAATTTCTATATCTTTTTACAATTAGAACAATGAGCTTTTATAACTTTTACAAATAATCTTTACAATAAATTACATTTAAATTCAATTATTTACATTTAAACAAAAGGAGAAAAATAAGCTAAATCAAATAATGGTCTTCTTGCCACCAATCTTGCTTTGGACTTCAATGAGAATCATTTGACTTTATAAATTATGGAAAACAGATTCTAATACTAATTTACATATTGAAGACCCTTGATTTACTGTTTTTTTATATTGTATCACTTTGTCTTTCCAAGATCTATCATTTGGAACTCTTCTTTCATATGAGTTTTTGCATCATCAATCTCTTTTTAAGTTCCGATTATATTCATGTCATCAACATAAATAGCAATGATCACATATCCTGATGTGGATTTCTTAATAAACACACAAGGACATATCGCATTTTTGACGTAACATTTACTCAATAAATATTCACTTAAGCGATTATATCACATGCGTCCGGATTGTTTTAATCCGTAAAGTGATCGTTGTAACTTCATCGTACACATTTCTTTAGATGTTAATCTTAATGCTTCTGGCATTTTCAATCATTCAGGAATTTTCATATATATATATATATATATATATATATATCATTCTCAAGTGATCTATATAGATATGCTATCAGAACATCCATCAGATACATGTCTAGATTCATGATTGCTGCTAGACTCATTAAGAATCTGAATGTTATTGTATCCATTACCAGGGAATATGTTTCCTCCTAATCAATTCCCGGTCTTTAAAAAAATCTTGAGCCACAAGTCTCGCTTTATACCTTGTGACCTCATTTTTCCCAATTCTCTTTCTAACAAACATCCATTTGTATCCAGACGCGCATTATATGCTCTGGTGTTGTGACAATAGGTCCAAAAACTTTTCTTTTATTCAGGGAGAATAATTCTGTTTCAATGGTCATTCTCCATTTCTCTCAGTCATGTCTTTTCTGACATTCTAATATGGACATTGGATCTGGATCATCGCTTTCAAGCTCTTTAGATACAGAAAATGAGAATATTCCATCAATATCTTTTATTTTATCTCTGATCCATAATTTTCCATTTTGGACATAAATGATGGAAATCTCATATTTTTCTGTCTCACATTCGTCTCCAAGACGAATCTCTTTATTTGGTTCTTCTAGAACCTTTTCACAAATGTCTTAAGGACATTTTTCTTTAAATGGTTCTTCCGGAACCTTTTTACTTTGTTCTCCCTCTTTTTCTTTCAGGGAATTTTAACTTTAGAACCCATCGGTCTCTCCCTCTTCAACTGAACCCTAGGTTCATTTGATATGTTCCCATCAATGTGTTCTTCAGGAACACTAATTCTGGATGGAACATTTGCTGTGGGGATATATGACTTTGTGACCCTTTTTGTATCTGTGAATGCATCTGGTAACTGGTTTGCCGTATTTTGCATATGTACAATTTTCTGAACTTCCATCTCACGTCTCTAAACATTAATGCTTATTTTGCATATATTTTGCATAAGCCAAATATTTTGTACACCAAGTGATATCTTTTGGTGATTCTCTCAATCCTCCCCCTAACGCGGGAAATTCATCTTCATTAAAATGGCAATCGGCCAAACATGTCGTAAACATATCACCAGGTTCAAGATACATGATTATAATTGGTGACGTATAACCGATGTATATTCTCAATCTTCTTTGTGGTCCCATTTTTGTTCTTTGGGGTGGCGCTATAGGGACATAAACCGCACACCCAAACACACAAAGATGGGATATATTTGGCTCATGTCTAGATACCAACTGTAATAGAGAGTACTCATTATATTCACTTGACTGTATCTAGATCAGGGCCGCTGCATGCAAAATAGCATGTCCCCATACATTAATGGGGAGCCTTGATCTCAATATTAACGGCCTTGCAATCTATTGCAACCGTTTAATCAGTGACTCAATCATGCCATTTTTTGTATAAACATGTATAACGAAATGCTCAACATCGATTCCCAAAGACATACAATAATCATTAAACACTTCTAAAGTGAATTCACCAGCATTATCCAGCCCTAATTTTTTTATAACATAATCAGGAAATTGTGCTCTCAGCCTGATTATTTGGGTCATGAATTTAGCGAAAGCCGTGTTTCATGTGGTCAATAGACACACATGTGACCATCTACTAGATGCGTCAATCAAAATTATAAAATATCTAAACGGCCCGCATTGTGGGTGGATCGGCCCACATATATCACCATGTATTCTTTCCAAAAATTATGGTGATTCATTCCCAACTTTGGCTGGTGATGGCCGAGTTACGAGTTTTCCTTGAGAACAAGCATTACATAAAAACTCGCCCATTTTTAATATTTTCCTGTTTTTCAACGGATGGCCATTAGAATTTTGCACAATCTTTCTCATCATGACTGAACCAGGATGGCCTAACATTTTATGTCAAATTTTAGAAGTACTAGTAAACTTCTGGTTTACTATAATACTAGTATTTTGGCCCGCGCTATGCACGGGCACTCACATTTATTTAATCAAATTATTTGTAAACATTCATATGTTAAAATCAAAACAAATTAATAGTGTGAAATTATAATATTAAAGAATTGCATAACAGAATTAAGAACGAACATTACTTATTGAAAATATTTATACATAGTAATACTGGAATATATTATATGATTTTAAAGTATCTATCGATTAGTTAAAAAGATGGAAATGCTGATAAACAAAATTATAATAATAATAATAATAAAATAATTTTTGACGTTTCGAGTTGAAGAAGACTCATCTTCTTCTTCTTCTTGTACATACTACTCTAGCTTATTGCAGTCTAATAAGAAAGAGAAAAAGTTAATATTGACATTTCGAGCTGAAAAATAAATTTAATTTCATTCCAATATCTTTGATCTACAAATCACAACAAATTTTAATCAAGTAATCCATATTAAATATGTTAATTAATTCTGTCCAAATCTCTTTTCCCAAACTATGCTTTGAAATATGATCCCTCTGCAAAGAAAAGATACGACTTTTAGTGTGTTAACAATGGAACAGAAATTTGTACAACAATTTAAAACATATGATGGTGGTGCTTAAACGTACCGATCAAAACTTTCTTGTCATCTGTTTGTGAGAGTAGCTCATCGAAAGGAATGACTGGTTTGGAATCTCTTCATAAGGCTTCAGATGTGTGACCAAGTGAAGAATATTTTGAAAGCATGTGTATTTTCCCTGGAAACACAACATTGTCCTTCTTCAAATGCACTTTGGAAGTTGAAAATCAAATTTTCTCTTATATGATTTTCCTATCACAACGACAACAAAAGAAAACTAAAATGTATTTTGACAAAAAAAAGCTTGCAAAGTAAATTAACAACAAAATATGTGTGGTCTTTTGAGATTAGAAAAATAATAATCTATTATTGCATATATTAAAGATAACACTTGCTATATAAGTTACAAATAACTCAAAAGAGTAAAAACGTTTAAAGGTTGAAAATCACTCTTATTAACAACAAAAGAGAAGCATGTATAAGCTAATATACCTTATCATTCATGTGTATTTTCCAACTGACCTGTATGCAACTTTTTCATGTATTGAGATTCGGTTTCTAATATACCTTACTATTCATAAGTACTAAATCTAAGTCTACCAACATCTCCAAGCTTATTATTGTTTGGAATCGCCACATACAGGTAATTCAAGCTTTCACCTTCCAAATCTCAGAAACTGGGTTTAATTGAACTATTGGTGTGAAAGAAAGCTTCATCTTATAAGCAATCACAGCCTTTAGTACCTGAAACATAATGGCAAAAAAAAAAGTTCCAAATTAGAGATCTATGGAGTTTGAGAAGTTGAAGATAAAAACTTAAAAAGCCAAAATTAAAGATACATAACTGCTTTTTTCTTTACGGAATTGCAAATAGTTAAACGATTATATGGTTAAACAGTTTTGATATATCAGTGAGAGTAAGAAGTTGAATTGGGGAATGGGGATCGTGGGTACTTATTTTGCAACTTTTTTTCTATTTTAGTTTAAAAAAATTAAAACATTCGATAAACTCGGCAAAGATTTATGTAAATCAAATAACGCATCTGACCAAAAATTTAAATTCAAATAAATCAAAATCCAGAAAAATCACCAATTTTATTTTTAAGATTAATTCTCATCAGAATAAGAGAGTTACCTAGATTATCAGCGTCGCTAATAATCATCTCAAGCTTGCGTCTACCTTCCCATGCAGATCGGTGTGCATCTCGACGGTCATGGCTTCAGCTGCCTGTTTCAGTTTTGCGATTGGAGTTGTGAAATCCTCTTGTAACATCATCACGATCTGAAAAAAACTCACATCAATTTCATGCCAATTTGAAAAACTGTTTTTGTTTTTTAGTATACTGGAAGTTTGTAGATGGATTTGATTTTGGGAACTGAAGCTTTCTTGTGGTTTACAATAAACGAAGAAGACAACGACGCTTAAAAGAATATTAGGTTTAGTAAAGAAAAAAATTTACGGGGAGATAACTACATAAAAAAAAGAGAATTAACGGAGGTTTCAAAATATGAGAGAAAAATTATTAACAAAAAATGAATTTTTAAAATAAATGTTAAAAGGACACATGTCAGATGGACAATTGCCGACTGACTTCTGGTTTATAATAATAAAGATATGATTCAGTTATGTTTATTTTTGTGCAATATATTCCAGGGGATAACATATATGTTTCATCTCTGCTGTAATGCAAAGATATTCAATGCCATTGTTATTCGTAGTCTCTATATGATATCCATTTCCGCGGATATCTTTGAAACTTAATAATTTCTATAAGATTTTGGGGATCATAATGCCTTATTTATCACATACTTTGTTCCCCTTGACATTGAAAACTGACTCTTCCGGAGCCTATATTAGTTTTTGCATTACTAGATATCGTATTCACGCTTCCAGTGGAATCGTCTATTTTAAGACTTGAGAAATAATTTTTATCTTTAATAATCTTGTGCGTTGTAGCACTGTCTGCCATACATATCTCTCCATCCATAGTCTCAATTTCTAGCATTTTCTGAATTTAAAATAGTCATAAAAGATGTATCATTAAGTATTAAACACATACCTGATAATATAACTTATGTAACAATAGAACCTACAATAAAACATTCAAAAACAGAAGCATATAATACATTATAAACATTAAGCTTTTGTATTCATGTCTTCTTCAGGAAGACATCATATTACATCGATTTTTGTTTCTTTGTTTCAGTTGATCCTTCTTGATCAACTTCGAAATCCAAAATATTGAGATGAGTATCATCATCAAGGCCATGGAAAGAAGGTCCGGAATCATCAGAAACAAAGTTTGTTTCCCTTTCTTTCTCTTTTGCTCTTTGTGATTCCCGGTACAGATCGGCTAAATGTTTTGACGTATGACAAATATGTACCCAATGACCTTTCATGCCGCATCTGAAACAAACAGTTTATTTTTTCCTTTTCATTTCCCGACCATCATTATCATCATGAAAACTTTTACCATCTTTTTCATGACTGAAATCATGTGGACGATATCCTCTTCCTCGTCCACATCCATATCCACGACCATGATTTCGACCACGGTATTGACCGCGTCCACATCCACGTCCTTGCCAATTATTATAGCTGGACGATGCAACATTCACTTATGGGAATGGTGCAGATCCAGTTGGACGGCTTTGATGGTTCATCTGCATGAGCTCATTATTTTGTTCTGCAATACGCAAAACATTCATTAAATTCGAATAACGGGTATATCCATTTGCCTGATATTGTTGTTGTAGAACTACATTATCAGGGTGAAATGTGGAGAGGGTTTTCTCAATCATGTCATAATCACATAATGTTTCTCCACATAACATCATTCTCGATGTTATTCCAAACATCACAGAATTATAATCACTAACATTTTTGTAGTCATAAAACCGGAGATGTAACCACTTGTGTCTGGCTTTCAATAAGAACACATATTTCTGGTGATCAAATATTTCTTTAAGCGATTGCCAGAGATATGCAGGATCTTCTTTTATGATGTACTCATCTTTTAGGCTATCGTGGATATGATGACGTAAAAATATCATGGCTCTTGCCTTTTTCTCATCCGATGTCGGTTTTGACTTATCGATGGTATCAAGAAGTCCGTTTCCTCTTAGATGCATTTTTGCACCTACTTCCCATGTCATATAATTTTTTCCAGTAATATCAAGGACAGCAATTTCGAGCTTTGCAAGATTTGACATTATAACTGAATAACAAAAGCTTAATTCGTTAAATAAAAAAAATAAAAATTTGAGCATGGTAGCAGCATAATAAAAGACAATAATTAAAAGCAATATGAGGAAGCAGAGCCTACCATACAATTTCTGATTGCATAATAAATAAATGAACAAAGATGGGTAAGTTTTAATCACCAACATAATAAATAAATAAATTAATAAATATATAATTAAAGATGGGGGTTTTAATCTTCCACTTCATGATCCGAGAAGACATAGTATACCATGTGATCATTTTGATCGTGAAGACATAGCCTACCATAACGATCAGCTCAGAGGAGGCAGAGCCTACCATCCCGGCATAATAAATAATATAATTATTTGATCGTGGAGGCAGCGCCAACCATAATGATCAGCTCAGAGGAGGCAAAGCCTTCCATCCCGGCATCACATATAAACGGAGAAGACAAAGCCTATCTTTCCGTAAATAATAAATTTTAAAATAAATTGAACTAAAATAAATTTTATCTTCTGGGTATAGATCTGACTTTGGGATATAGATCCAGAGGCGTTTGTGCTGATAACATGTTATAAAATAATTATTATATAAACGAGATATGTGTTTGATATATGTATATATATATATATATTATAAATATAAATAAGCAAAGAGATGGAGAGAGAGAGAGGCGATAGGTAAATGAGTGTGAGAGAAGAGGAGCTTTATTGATGTAGTGGTCGTTCGTGAGTTAATTACAAAATGGGGGGAGGGGGAGGGTTTATATAGTGAAGGAGAGTAAAGACAAAAACTTAAATGGATAAGCATTAATGTTTAGAGACAAAACATTATCTCTTAACAAATTTGACGTTGTTTATACCTTTTTGGATTTGGACCATTAAATTTGTTGGACCGGTACCACGCTCAACAGTGATTAGACTTCTTGACTCGCTTATATAATAATTTGAAGTTTAATTTCATTTATATTGCTGTTTGATAGAATACGATGTTTACGGAGAATGTGTGTTCATTATCGTGGATTAACTTTATCTCACGTGTTTGTTTATTGGGATGAATATCGTCTATATAATTTGATGGATTAGCTGTTTAAAACCTGAAATCAACTTAATAAATGATGATTTATTAATGAGTTAGCCTCTGGGAGGATAGAAAAAGGTTTTTCCCTTTTTAAGATTTTTCGACGTCCCAGTCACGAAAGTCTTTTTAGGAACAAATACTCAAGATGTAAATTTTAGGTGGGTTTTGAGTGGAAATTACGTATGGAGACCATAGTAATCGTCTGCTTTTTGGTGGTGACCGAAAAGGTTATAGAGCATCATTAGAATGGGGCTGAACTCTCTCGTGCTGAGTAAGATATTGGAGGAAGACAATCATACCTCCCATCGCACATCCTTCAGACATGTTGATGGGATGATTTTTGGGGATGACTTCAATTAGTTGAAGACGTCATGTAAGAGTTATTCACGTTCCGACCGAGGGAATTAAGACCTGATGAGATCCTTGCTGGCTCACCAGCCAATTCTCCTCTACTTTCGGTTGCTTGGAGTGTCCATAGTATATGGTACACTGCTTATCGAGGCAGGTTTAATAATCTTCATGTTGAGTGTTCCTTTGCTAATGTGGAGGCTTCAAATTGGTTTTTGAGAAATCGATCCAAACAGATAATGAAAGTGTGAGCCGTAATGCCACTTTATTATTAATGATAGATTTAAATAATAATCCTTAGACAATAATTAAGATTTAATGTCTATTATGTCATCTTCCAAAACAGGTTTTTGAACAGTGTAAAAACACAAATAGCTAAAAATAATCATAAACTAGATGGATGACATGCACGTATGTACGAATATAAAGCTTTGTATAATGTGTGGGCATAAATGTTTTTATAGAATAATTATAATATTTAATAAAAAATTATTATTTCTAATAGATAAGTGAATGATTTGAATTTTTTGGTTAAAACAGTTGAATAATATGTAAACATAAATTATTTGTATGATTGATAGAATATAGTATTGTTATATTTTAAACTTATATGTGTGTAGTAATTAATATTTGAAAAATAACATTTGTAATATTATAAGTGCTATATAGAAAAAGAGGAGATATTACAAAATGATCCAGAATGAGAAAATTATATGAAACGAGTACATCACCCAAGAAAAATTGTGAAAATGATCATTTCATTATTTTTATAAATATCAGCGCTACTATTCTATCTACTTTTATTTGTACATTAATGACAGACTAATAGCAGACTGATTGGTCATAAAATTAAACGTAGCCTAATACAAATTAGTAGCACACTAATGACAGATTAAAAGTACATTAATAAAAAAAATTATGAATCATTTTAGAAAAGACCATGTTTCGTATATAATTATCAAATGAGTCATTTTATAAATTATCCCTATAAAAAAATTAAGAGATTGTGTTTCTAACTTTGATATTTATATTATTATAAAATATAAATAATTAATAGCAATATATATTGGAGAATTATATGTAAAATAATAAACTAAAAAATATGTTTTATAATTGTGGTATTTGCGTTAATATAAATGGCAAATGATAATAGAAATATATAAAATTTCTTAATTTGTGAAAATGTTAATATATTTAATAAATTAGATATATCAATAAATAAAAAAGATATTGTTGGAACTGGTTTTGCTACAGCCAATGACTAGGCATACATCGTCACAAGATCTCCTATTAACAGTGCGCCTACACACCTACTTCTTGATAGGTAAGAAGTGTGATGGGTACCAGAGCCATACCTGCGATATGAAAAAAGAAACCTTTGCTTAAAGACAGCAATTTTTTGTTGTTATTATAGGGCATCATTTTATTAAAAATATATTCCATCTTTATTAGTATTAGTTATATTATATTAATATCAGTTATTAAATAATAAAATAGTTTATCATGTGTAAACCTATGTTATAAGTAAATTATATATGGATTTAGAAATTTACAATACCTTTAAGTAACTTAATAAAATCAATTATTAATATTAAAGAATTGTCATAGGAAAATATTTTAGGATATTTACAAAATAATTAGTTTTTTTCTGTCCACTATAGAAACAATTGTTAACATTAAAAAATTTGGATAAGAAAATAAAATTATGTAACTTTTTTTCCACTTAAAACACTGATATAATTAATATTTTTTATGTTTTATAACAATTAGTTAAAGATAAAATATAATTTTTTAGTTTTTTCGTTAATCATATTATTTAGTTAAATATTTTAAAAACAAAAATTTACTTATCAGAGCATTTCTTTTTTAATTCGCTTATGGTACGCGTTAGGGTTGTCACGACTCTGATGGGTACTCAAGTATCTGGGTCGAGTTCCTGCAAAAGCGATTTTCATCCACCCCATAGGTGGCAGTCTTAATCAGAGAAGTTTGCTGAACCAATAGAAAAGGGTCTGCATATGTATAAAAGGAGAAGAAGGGCTCAACTTGGAAGGGATCGTTCAATCATTTGGAAGACTGTTTGAAAAACAATGGGAAGAGATAGAGGAATCTGTAGTTTAGGAGACTTGTTGAGAATTAGTGGAATTAGATCCAACCAGAAATGCCCAAACGCATATAGTATGAACCGTTGAAGCCGAGAGAAGGTATTGCCACTAAAATCCAGAACCTGAAATGACTAAACTAACAAACAAAATAAAAGAAATGTGATGACACTAACAACGCCATGGAAAGAAAAAGAGTTTATCGATACCTTGGGATCGTTCAAAAGTAAACAGAGATTAGTGACCAAGGAAATACATCTGATAAACTTGTCATGAGCACGACAACGAACAAATATATGTGGCTTATCATAACGTTTTATATTCCACATCGGGAGAGGGTCTCTCTTCCAATCCGTGATGCCGAGGAACACTCTCGATCGAGCAAGAACTGAGCAACCTAATAAAAGCCTGACAAGCGAGTTTTCGTCTTTGTAAACAACAAAGAAAAGCCGCAATATTTTGATAGAGGGGAGGAAAGCTGAGGGAGGAACATCCACAAGGATCTTGTTGGAAAGATTCAACTCCACAAGCGTTTTGCTGGTGTAGAGGCTCTTAGGTAACCTAGTAAGCTCTGCGGCCCAAAGAAGCTCCAAGTCTAGCTTGCGCACCAAGCGATCCACCGCACTAGCAACCCATTTTCTAACATCTTCACCATCAGGAAATCTTTGTCCGAGTTGGATACATAGAGTTTCTAAGAAAGGTGCCTTGTGAAGTTCCAATGACTTTTCAAGAAACTTCCAAACGCTTTTGCATCCATCATCATCGGTGTATTTGTACTCGAGTTTAGGCATCACCGTCCAGAGAAAACGCCATCGTTTTGATAAAACCATGGTGGCCACAGCATCTTTGGTCGAGACAAGCAACAAAATCTGGATGAGCAAATCGTTTGGCAACGCACTGATCATGTCCCTAGAAACAACAACCTCGTCATCTTTTGTACAAAGTTTGGCTTCTATCGATGACATAGTGCTATAATAAGAGTTAAGATTACAAAAGCATGTGAATAAAACAGATGTAAATGAGGAGGACGAATCCTAAATCTATATGATGATCCAGAACCCTAGCAAGGCACCCTTTGTTTTTAATATTTATGGTTTGTTATTATTACCCATCCCCTGATTTCGGATCAATCGTTATCATACACTAGTGTAGTTATCTAGACTAACGGAGAGATAAACAGAAATCGGGAAATGATATTTTCTTATTGGATTAAAATGTCGACTACACAAGTAAGAGTGTTTATATACGTGTGATATAAACTTAGCGTAACAAACTTATTTACATCAATTTAGGCCTGAAAATTTGATTCTTTAACCGCGGATACTCGCCAAGGTGCCAGTGCATATCGGAAAAAAATCAGTTCGCAAAAAAACGGGTTTTGCAGGATGGTTTTAAAATGTGGGGTGTGTTTCAATTTTATTTTACAGGTTCGCGGATTATCCACTATTTAAAAAAAATATTAAAAAATGATAATATACACAAATTTGCTAACAATTTTTCAAAAAAAATAAATAAATTATATGTTTATATTTTATCATATTGATCTTTTATTAAATACTAGGTATTTACCCGTGCTACGCTGCGGAATATTTTTCTAGATTTGTATATATTTTTAATATAATAAAATTATTTATATATTTTAAATGAGTATTATATTTATTTTTTTGCTGAAGTGTCATCTCTTAAAAGCTTGAAAATGCTGATGTGCCAAGTCATGGAGAGATTTATGGATTATTGTTGTGTTGGTTCTCGGTAACCAGTAGAAATGCGAATCTCCAAGCTGTGGTGGTCTGAGTTTCTCCTCATTTGCTTTTGCCTTCTATTTTTTTTTGTAAACTTTGGGCTTTTTAATGGGTCAGCAAAATAGTAAATTGATTTTATTAGTGTGTTAATAATATGTATTATTGTTATGTTTTTATTGGTTCAAATTTTTGCTGATGTGTGAGCTTCTTATAACATAACGCTTTTTGCATTGTTGTTATGGAGCATAGTTGATGATGAGTCTACACTTTCTTCAATCATATACGTCTCTATCAAGCAAACACATAGTTAGAAATTTTAATTTTTTTACTGTTATTTATTATTTGAATTTCGGTTTGGTAAAAATATAAAACAATGATTTAATTTTATTATTTGTTGTTATTTATTATTTGGGTTTGTTAAAAAAATAAAACAAAATTTTTTTTATTTGCTGTTATTTATTATTTGGGCTTGAGCTTGACCAAAAAATAAAACTAAAATTAACAATAAAAAATATTTGAGTTTTTAATGGGTTTAAATTTAAAAGTTAAAATAAATTGATGACTTGTATTAATGAAATGTTTTTATTGGTGTTTTTTTTGCTGAAGTGTCATCTCTTAAAAGCTTGAAAATGCTGATGTGTCAAGCCATGGAGAGACTTATGGATTATTATTGTGTTGGTTCTCGGTAACCAGTAAAAATGCGAATCTCCAAGCTGTTGTGGTCTGAGTTTCTCCTCATTTGTTTTCGCCTTCCATTTTTTTTGTAAACTTTGGGTTTTTTAATGGGTCAACAAAATAGTAAATTAATTTTATTAGTGTGTTAATAATATGTATTATTGTTATATTTTTATTGGTTCAAATTTTTGCTGATGTGTGAGCTTCTTATAACATAACGCTTTTTGCATTGTTGTTATGGAGCATAGTTGATGATGAGTCTACACTTTCTTCAATCATATACGTTTCTATCAAGCAAACACATAGTTAGAAATTTTAATTTTTTTTACTGTTATTTATTATTTGAGTTTCGGTTTGGTAAAAATATAAAACAAAGATTTAATTTTATTATTTGTTGTTATTTATTATTTGGATTTGTTAAAAAAATAAAAAAAATTTTATTTATTTGATGTTATTTATTATTTGGGCTTGAACTTGACCAAAAAAATAAAACTAAAATTAACAATAAAAAATATTTGAGTTTTTAATGGGTTTAAATTTAAAAGTTAAAATAAATTGATGACTTGTATTAATGAAATGTTTTTATTGATGTTTTTTTTTTGCTGAAGTGTCATCTCTTAAAAGCTTGAAAATGTTGATCTGTCAAGCCATGGAGAGACTTATGGATTATTGTTGTGTTGATTTATTTTAAAAAATTATATTGAAAATATTTTTTATTTTTACTAAATATATATGGATTATAATGGATAAGGATCCAATTTTTTATTATTATTATTGTCTGAATAATATTGGAATGAACGAAAATATGGTTTGGAAAGAAAAACAGAAAGCCACATGCTTTCATAAAAAGCTAAAAAGAACAATATATCCTAATTTAGTATTCCTAAGGAAAGGATAATTCAATTACTCACATTTTCTTTGTGTCTAATACGGTCTTGTAGTATGACAGTTCACCAGAAGCTAGATAGGATTGGAACAAACCACAATGCGACACGCTCTTGGCAATTTTCCGTGCTAAGAGGTTTATCTTAGGGCTGTCGAAATCAAAGCTGCATCTTTCGAAACCAAAGCTAAGGTTATTGATAAGCGTAGTGAAGAGCAAATATTTTATGCTTATAAAATTTAGAAAACATATTGAGACGAGTCAAAGAACAAAATCCGTAGGAGGGCGGGTCAGGCGGACGGATCTAACCCGCAAAATATAGTAGTTAAATTGGGACGAAGCAAGTTATATAATACAACAATGTTGAAGGCATAGATAACAGAAGGGCTTATTTATAATTACAAGAAACATTATCAATCATAAACCCTAAAGCCCTAAAATATTTTGTATAAGAGCAGTCACAGAGGCTGCATCTATCGTCACGACCGCACATCTCTTTCATTTGCCTTCGTTTATTTTCTTCTCTCGTCTCTCGTTTACTCTGTAGCAAATATGAGACCTCCTCTTACAGGTAAGAATCTTAAAGGCTATATTTTTCTTCTTCTGTCTGTCTCCAGATTAACTCTGTTCGATTCAGATTAAGATCTTGTCGAATCTGAATTCTTTTGGCTTTGTTTCGATCTATGTTGTTTGATTGATATTTAGGGTTTTATTCTTGACTCTTTCCGTCTTCACCGCTTCAATCAAATTTAAAAACGAAAATGGAGTTTTTTTATTTAAATTTATACTTATCTTGTTCCGGTTGGTTTATCAGCCGGGCGTGGTGGCGGTGGATTCAGAGGTGGAAGAGATGGAGGCGGAGGAGGGTTTAGGGGTGGACGAGGAGGCGGTGGAAGAGGATTTGGCGGAGGCCGTGGAGGACGCGGTGACAGAGGCGGTCGAGGTGGACGCGGTGACAGAGGCGGTCGTGGTGGACGCGGCGGTGGAAGAGGAGGAATGAAAGGAGGAAGCAAAGTGATTGTGGAGCCTCACAGACACGCAGGAGTGTTCATTGCTAAGGGTAAAGAGGATGCTCTTGTCACTAAGAACTTGGTTCCTGGTGAAGCCGTGTACAATGAGAAGAGGATCTCTGTTCAGGTATTTGATCTTTTCACTTAGATCCCAAGGTGTGTTTGAATCTGATAGTTTGCTCTCTCATGGGTTCTCTTGAAAAAGTTTGAGTTTTGGTCTTCTCTCTTAGATAGAAAGAGGTGTTGGAATCAGATGATGTTTGTTGTTTTGTTCTATTCTAATAGTCTTGGCTGCTTGAATTTTGCAGAACGAAGATGGAACTAAAGTTGAATACAGGGTTTGGAACCCTTTCCGCTCCAAGTTAGCTGCTGCTATTCTCGGTGGTGTTGACAACATTTGGATGGTAAGTCTATATCACAGTGAGATTTGTGTTTTGTCATTGAAAGTCTTGTTCTTTAATTGAATTTTTTTTTTGCAGAAACCCGGTGCCAAAGTTCTTTACCTCGGTGCTGCTTCTGGAACCACTGTCTCTCATGTGTCTGATCTTGTTGGCCCTGTAAGTGAAGTCTATTACTAACTTGTGATGTATTGTCTTCCACTGATATTTAGTACACTCAGATACTTTTGTTTTCCTTGTTTGTTAGTTACTATTTTTTTCTGTTTTGGCAGGAGGGATGTGTTTATGCTGTTGAGTTCTCTCATAGAAGTGGTAGAGATTTGGTGAACATGGCGAAGAAGAGAACTAATGTTATTCCGATCATTGAAGATGCTAGACACCCTGCTAAGTACAGAATGCTTGTTGGCATGGTTGATGTCATATTCTCTGATGTTGCTCAGCCTGATCAGGTTTGGTTCTTCCTTATTTCTTACTATGAAAATGTTGATAGACTCCTTTATACAAAGTTCTATCCACAATTGTTACTTTTACATCGCATTGCATATTTTGATTTTACAAAAGCCAGTACTCTGAAATCGGCAGATGATGATTTTACTTGGATTCCCCTTCAGAACATTATGGGTGTTGCAAACTCCAAGCTTCTGATGCTACTTTTGAATCTTTTTAACCTTTTTTTCTTTCCTGTTTATGTTTTTTATGCCACATTTGGTTGCTCTCATCTTTATAAATTGGTTTTGATCCCATTGCCATGTTTTCATTTATAAAAGTGAGCATTTTTGGTTTTCTATTTAGATTCTCTATAAATTGATTTTTCAGGTTTGTCATTGCTTTTGAGGTGATATTTTAAAAAATAATTGTGATCGAAGTCTGCAATATATATTGCGCTTGCAGATTACCACAAGAAATCTGCAAGAATCTGCTTCTCTTGTTTGTTCTTTACATTTTCTCTGCTTATGTTTAGTTTTAATTGAAACCCATTTGCCTAACTCTTGAAGGCAAGAATCTTAGCCCTGAACGCATCATTTTTCCTCAAAACTGGAGGACACTTTGTTATCTCAATCAAGGTCAGTGATTAAATCCTCTCTCGACGTCAAATCAAATTCTTAGAATGTTCACGTCGTTTGTCTCCGATACTAAACGAAACCTGTTCTTCTCTCTTCAGGCAAACTGTATTGACTCTACGGTTCCAGCAGAAGCAGTGTTCCAGAGCGAGGTGAAGAAGCTGCAGCTAGAGCAATTTAAGCCTGCAGAACAGGTTACCCTTGAGCCCTTCGAGCGTGACCATGCCTGTGTTGTTGGTGCTTACCGCGTGGCCAAGAAACAAAAGGCTGCAGCTACATAGAAAGATACTTCTGTACAATTGTGGACCAGTGTGACCAAACCGTAGCGTGTTTCTTTTGGTTTGGCTTCTTGTTGTATTAAGTTAAAAGATTGATATGCTTTTATGTCTCGTGTTTGGATATTGAATCTTTTTGATAAAGAAGCACTGATATTATCTAACATTTCATAGAAGATATAATGGTTTGGCCTTCCATTTCACCAGTCTAAGATCAAGAACACTTGCAATTTCACTCGCTCAAGAACAAAGCATTAAAGGAGACTAGCGTAAACTAGTCAAGGCTAATCAGAATAGTATCTCAGTCAAAATTTAATTCTGAAGAATACAAACTTTCCACGATCCTGAGAAGCTCGAGGAAGACGATGACCAGATGTTTTTTTACGACTTAACGGACTCTATTTTCAATACACAAGTACATTTAGGGCTTAAACCAGACTTAACCGGCTCTAATTAGAATCGGTACCCTTCAGTATTTGCCAAGCGTTGATACTTTATGGATCAAACAATCTTTCAACACACATTATGGCTGTTACTATAGCCCTTGATATGTATGCTGCAATCTTTCATCTATGCATAATTATTCAAAATTATGGATTCCTTGTGGCACAAGCAATTTGCTCGTGATTTGATTTTTTTTTTTTTTTTTCAAATGTTAATAAATTTTAGATAAATAGGAACTTCCCAATTTTAACGGAAGAGAAAATAGAAGCATTCCTGTTCCAATTCTTAAACCCTAAGAACGTCTCTATAAAAACAAAACTCACAGAAACTGCAAGTTCACCACCGTTCGTCTCTTTCTCTGCCTTCGCTTATTTTCATTGTTTATCACTTTCCTGTGCTCTATAGCAAAAGATGAGACCTCCCTTTAGAGGTAAGTAACAACCCTAGAAGCCGTTTTTTTTTCCTACTCTTGTTCCTGCATCCAGATTACTCTGATCGACCTAAATTATAGAGTTTTGTTTAACCTAAACTTGGGTTTATCACAAATATCTCTAGCTGAACTGATTATTAGACCTAGACTGGTTTGAGTCTTCACCGCTTAAATCCAAGTTTAATGTGAGAGATGTAATAATACTCTCTTCTAATTACTTTGTTTTCGTTTCATGTATATGGTTTTATGCTCAGGACGTGGTGGCGGTGGAAGAGGTGAAGGAGGTTTCCGTGGAAGAGGTGGAAGAGGTGAAGGAGGTTTCCGAAGAGGAGCTCCTGCAAGAAGAGGAGTGCCTAGAGGAAGAGCAGCACCTGTTAGAGGAAGAGGAGGACTCAAAGGAGGAAACAAAGTGATTGTGGAGCCTCACAGACACGCAGGAGTGTTCATTGCCAAGGCTAAAGATGATGTTCTTGTCACTAAGAACTTGGTTCCTGGTGAATCCGTTTACCAAGAGAAGAGAATCTCTGTTCAAAACATAGATGACACTACTAAAGATGAATACAGAGTTTGGAACCCTTTCCGCTCTAAGCTAGCTGCTGCTCTTCTCGGTGGTATTGACAACATGTGGATCGTAAGTCCTTTTATATATATATATATATATATATATATATATACCACATGAAAACATTAAGTTATACAACCTTATTATGTTACTGAAATTATATAGTGACTTGTTTTCTTGTAATTGTAGAAACCTGGTGCTAAAGTTCTTTACCTTGGTGCTGCTTCTGGAACTACTGTATCTCATGTCTCTGATATTGTTGGAACTGTAAGTGAACCCTAAATCCAAACCCTTGATTTGTTTTTCTCCATGTAATCATGTTCGCTTATAAAATGCGTTTATTCTGATTGTTCGTAGGAGGGATGTGTTTATGCTGTTGAGTTTTCTGCTAGAAGTGGAAGAGATTTGGTGAACATGGCAAAGAAGAGAACTAATATTGTACCAATCATTGAAGATGCTAGACATCCTGCTAAATACAGAATGCTTGTGGGCATGGTTGATGTCATATTCTCTGATGTTGCTCAACCAGATCAGGTTTGATCTATTCCTTGCATTGTATAGTATATATGCTTGCATAGAAAAGATTCATTTTAAAATTAGCAGATGATGATCATACTTGGATTTGGATAATTCAAACTCCAAGGTTTTGATGCTACTTTGAATCTTTTTTCTTATTAGCAAAACTTCTTTTGTTTTTTCTTGAATTTTTTTGTTATAACTCTTTTTTTTTTCTTTTCAAGATTTATGAATTTATGTATAACCTATAAAACTATACAGGCTAGGATAGTAGCTCTCAATGCATCTTTCTTCCTCAAAACTGGAGGTCACTATATGATCTCTATAAAGGTCAGTAACAAAACTTTAACCATTGATTTAAATCAAATCATTCTCTTTTTTGTTTTGATTGATTGTTCAACTTATAAGTATTAATTTTTGTCATTTTTCAGGCGAGCTGTGTTGACTCAACAGTGCCAGCAGAAGCAGTGTTTGCGAACGAAGTGAAAAAGCTGCAAGCAGAGGACTTGAGACCAAAAGAGCAAATTTCTCTTGAGCCTTATGAGCGTGACCATGCTTGTGTTATGGGTGGATATCGCTTGCCTAAGAAGCAGAAAGCTGCTACTGCTGCTTAATTAGCAATCTAATCTATTTACTTAGTTTGTGATTATAGTGTGATTTATCACACAATCTAATCTTAACCGCTTTTGTGTTCAGTTTTACTTCTGATCTCCAGAAGTAGAAAGTTTTGTTCGAAACGCAAATGCATATTTGAGTTAGATTTTATTTATTAGTGTGGTATTGGTTTTATTGGACGTGGAACTTACTCTGATGTCGTCTCGTTATGATTTGTCTGGTTTCTTTATACATGATAAATTTTAATACATGTATAATGTATTGTGTTGATTACAAAGAGAAAATAATTAGTGAAGAACTACAGAATGTGTCATCTTAACTCTTCTCTATATATTTATTGTTTTATATAAAAAAATTATAACAATCACACTTTAAGATAGAAAAAAGTAAATTTTAAATTTTGCTGCATTTTTAAACAAAAACATTACACTATAAAAAATATGGAGAAATTACTTTTTCATCTATAAAGATGTCGTCAGTTTGCAGTTTCTTTCTCAGATTTTATCATTATGATCAACTGTATTGAAAGATAAGATTATATAAAATGAGAACTAAAAATGTTAATGTCAGAAGTGGGATTTGAACCCACGCCCCCTTAGACCACGCGGCCACCCTGACTTTCAGATTAATATCTAGAAAAAACATATAACAGTGGAGATCCAAGACATATTAATAAGTCATGTAAGCTATAACAGATAACCCTTTGAGGTATTTGATCTTTACTCTGATTTTTACTTTTTGCTGTTTGGTTTTGAATGTTTTTAGGCTTCACTTGAAGCTACATTGGACGGATTCTTCATTCCTGGAAAGAATTGGAAGATTGAGATCAAAAAATTTCACAAAACTGGTTTTAGAGAAACTTGATGGGAGCTTTGGTCGGTTTGAAGACACATTACATAAATGGAGCCATTAAATCTGGATTAAAGTTAAAAACCCTTGATGCATTTGGCTTATGGCTTAGAGAGAGGTGAGAGTTTTCTAACTTGTGCGTTCCTCCAATTTTAGTATTTAATTTTGGCTTAAAGAAGAAAGAGGTGAGAAGTTTTCTAACTTGTGTGTTTCTACAATTTCAGTATTTAATTGTGTCATTTCTGTTTCTTCTCAGGTTCAACTTCAAATCCTCGAAGAAAATGAAAAGAGATTAGACGAAAGAGAAAGTTATCAGACATGATTATACTACTTTTGTCCTTTCACGATTTGACTTGGGCTCGAACCACCGATTGTATATATGATAAATTTCAGAATTTGTTTCTTTTTATTTATGTCTTTTGATAGTTTCATAAAATTTGATTTTTTTTTCTTTGAGCGCTTCATGATCACACATCTTAATGCCATCATTTGGCTAGTTACAAAACGCGTTATGGAGATAATCTTGGCAACTAATTTGTACAAAATCCCCAATTACTAATGCCAATATTTATCACTCGCAATTAGTTTATGTGAAAACCAAGCCTATTAGAAACTACCATTTGAATTTTGGTGATTTAGAGAGGTTAGATTCCCCCCCCCCCCCCCCCCCTATATATCACATTATTATTTGTATGACCAAATTGATTAAATACTCAAATATAGCATTTTTTCTTTCTCATGTTCTCTTTTTTTTTTATCTCATCTTCTCTTATTATTTACTAGATTAGAATAAATATATTAAAAATTAATGAAATAAATTTTTAAATCTAATAAATAATTCTGTTGAAATTTAAAATACTATTTAACATGGGTCCTAAAACCAGTAGAAGTCAATTTATAACATAATTCTCATGTCCTAACCCATATCATGCATATCAATATATATATATATATTAATCGGAATTTAAATCATATTCTTAATAACAAAGAAAAATATATATTGTTACCCATTATGAATATTTATGAATTATGTGGTAGAAACATAAAAAAAATGACTAAAATGCTATATAGTTAAATCATAAAAGAGTAAATTTTATGTTAGTAATCTCATAAGAACTATAAATATTATTGTGAACCATCACATAAGTATATGATTGATAATTGCATTTCATTCATGTCATCATTTTATTTCTCATAGAGATTTATACTCGCCAAACCTTATACACTATTGACTTAGGAGTAAATATAATATTATTATTTTTTAACTTAAATAAATTTTTAATATATACACTTGGAGACTGGAGAGTACCAATGGCGTCGGTCGACTATTTCCATTTTTTGTGACATTCTATAACTCTATATTGATAAGATAAAATATGCTTACAGGTTTTTTATTTATTTTATTTTATTATGGTTGTGTATATCTTAAAATTTTAAATTGAGATTTCTATAACCTTTCTAATTTTTTTTTCCCAATTTATATAGCTTCTTTTGTTTATCATTCTCTTTTTATTTATTTTAATTGATATTTTTATTACGTATGTATTTTTTTTTATCAAACTATTATGTGTGTATTACTTGTTTCTTTTATGGCTTACTAGGTATTTACCCGTGCTATGCTGCGGGATATTTTCTAAATTTTGTATATATTTTTAATATAATAAAATTATTTTTATAATTTAAATGAGTATTATATTTTTTTTTATAGGTTAAGTTATGTATTTATATATTTTAAATCTGAATAAATATTATATATATATATATTTTTTTTTTCTAAAATTATATTTTTTTATTAAATTTAGTTAGCTAACTAATTATAAATATATATAGGAATAAAATATATACGAATAAAGCAATACATTTTTAGTACCTTCATGCTAATAGCAAATGTAATATATTTTCTCCAATAAATTACCACTTTATCCTCTTTTATAATTATATAAAGTGAAATACCATTTAAAAAAGATTTATTAATTAATGTGATTATTTTGAATTATAAAATTTATTTATTTATCAAATATTTTATTATAAACATATGTTTCTAAAACTACCAAACTATAATCAATAACATTCATATCAAAACCATTGCTATTGCTTTAGAACTAAATAGAAAATTATGTTTGAACTCTTAAAATATCGTTTTAGTTAAAGTTAAATAATTAAATTTTGGTTACTGTAAACATATTTTAACTTAGAAATTTAGCAAGAAATTTTATCTTCTTACAAAAATCGAGAAATCGCATTTCCCGTCAAAACAAAAAAAACTTCATTTTCCCATTAAACTGAGAAATCGCCTATTCCCGCTAAAACCAAAAAATTTATTTTCTCATCAAACATAAAACCTAAAATTTTATTTTCCCGCGAGAACCTGTGTTTTTCCACCAAAGCCGAGAAATAACGTTTTTTCACAAAAACAAAAAAAATCATCTTCTTCCAAAAACCAAAAAAAATTGTATTTTCCCTCCAAAATCGAAAAAATTATTTTTCCTGCGAAAACTGAGAAATCGTCTATTCTTGCCAAAAAAAAATTATTTTCTCGTCAAGCCCAGAATCACACTTTCCTACAAAAACAAATAGACTACAATTTTCCACGAAAACCAAAAATTACATTATCTCCTGTGAAATTATGTTTTCACGTGAAAACTAAGAAATTGTTATGTTTTATCGGTTCAAGTTTTTGTTGATGTGTGAGCTTTTTATAACATAAGGCTTTTTGCGTTGTTGTCATGGAAGCATAGTTGATGTTGAGCCTACATTTTTTCAATCATATATGTCTATGTCAAACAAACAAATAGCTAGAATTTTTTTTATTATTTATTTGTTGTTATTTATTATTTGGATTTGGTTTTGGCAAAAAAAAGAAAACAATGATTTAATTTTTTTTTTTGTTTTTATTTATTATTTGGATTTGGATTTGGTAAAAAATAAAATAATGATTTTTTATTTGCTGTTATTAATTATTTGGGCTTGGGTTTGGTAAAAAATAAAACAAAAATTAATAGGAAAAAATATTTGGGTTTTTAATGGGTTTAAGTTTAAAAATTAAATTAAGTAGATGAAATGTATTAATAAAATGTTTTGATTGGTGATTATTTTTGCTGAGGTATCATGTTTATAAAGTTTCAAAAAGCTTAGATGTCAAGCCATGAAGAGACTTTAGTGTTATTGTTGTGTTGATGTCCTCACTATATTCTATCTTAATTTTTGTTTTTTATCTTTTATTGTTTGATTAGTAACTTGACAATGCATTTTTCTATTAACTTGTGCACTTCACAACATGTCTACGGACACGGATTATAATAAAGGAGCTTTGACATATTAATCTTACGAGGTCTTTTATACAAGTACCCAAGTAAATAGTCAAGTGTAAGCGTTTAGAAGCACGACTTCCTTAGAACTAAAGAGCATTGCTTTAGTTTATATGCGGCCATTGTCGATTTTAACTCGAATGGGGGGCAATACTTCCCAAAAATGAGACAAGCAGCAACCCCACACTATACCAAACTTGACTGCGCTTATTGTCATTGATCATTTAAAGGCACGACCTGACAAACTAAGAAGAACATCCTCTGCAGGTCATGACGAACAGTTAACACCTGAAAAACAGAGAGGTAAAACCCCATAATTTTCCAAAAAATAAAGAGGTACGTCCTCATGAGGTTATGACAACAGTCAATGCCTAATAAAGAAATAAGAGGTGCATCCTCACAAGGTCATGACGAGAGTCAATACCTGCCAAAACAAGAGGTGCAACCTCGCAAACGAAAATAATGGTCATTGTTGACTCAACAGTACCAGCAGAAGCAGTGTTTGCGAACGAAGTGAAGAAGCTGCAAGCAGAGGACTTGAGACCAAAAGAGCAAATTTCTCTTGAGCCTTATGAGCGTGACCATGCTTGTGTTATGTGTGGATATCGCTTGCCTAAGAAGCAGAAAGCTGCTACTGCTGCCTAATTAACAAATCTAATATATTTACCTCTAATCTAGTCTTAATCGCTTTTGTGTCCAGTTTTTACTTCTGATCTCCAGAAGTAGAGTTTTGTTCGAAACGCAAATGCATATTTGAGTTGGATTTTATTTATTAGTGTGGTTTTGGTTTTGGTTTTGGTTTTATTGGACGTGGAACTTACGCTGATGTCGTCTCGTTGTGATTTGTCTGGTTTCTTTAGTTATACATGATTAATTTTAATACATGTATTGTGTTGATGACAAAGAGCAAATAATTGGTGAAGAACTACAGAATGTGTCATCTTAATTCTTCTGGATTTATTTATTGTTTTATATAAAAAAAATATTACAATCACACTTTCAGATAGAAAGAAGTAAATTTTAAATTTTGCTACATTTTAAAACAAAAACTGCTTAAATTATAAAATATGGAGAAATTACTTTTTCATCTAGAAAGATGTCAGATTGCAGTTTCTTTCTCAGATTTTATGATCAACTGTATTGAAAGATAAATTTTTTGAAAATGAAGAGAACTAAAAATGTTTGTGTTTTGTCAAAAAAACAAAAAACTTCTAGTGTCAGAAGTGGGATTTGAACCCACGCCCCCTCACGAGGACCAGAACTTGAGTCTGGCGCCTTAGACCACTCGGCCACCCTGACTTTTTGATCAATATGTAGAAATGAAGATTTTGCTCGAATACGTATAAGCTATAAGTATTCGAGCTCCCAAAAATCCCATCTGTAAAGGAAAATCTATAGAGAAACCAAGAGTTCTTGTCTTTTTGCCTTTTTCGACTAGTTTAATGGCTAAAGTCTGATGATGGGAGGGCGAATTATTAAAAAAATAAGAAAACCCAATGTCTTTCATTAGTTCAAAAATTAATCGCATATATATTTCTTGTAAATTAACTTTATTGGCTCTATGTATTATATGAGGTGAATTGCTCACTAATTATGCAGTGTGTGTTTTGTAGTGGCAAAATAAATGAGCCTTAAATAGGCCTACTTAAGGCCCACAAACTGAATCTTCTTGTAGGACAAAAAAGTGTTCCCAACAAAAATGAAAACGAAATCCACTATGAAACTGAAAGAATAATATAAAAAAAGTGGTGCACTTCATAGCGAATAATAGTAGTCTTATAGGGTGTTTTTTATTTTTGGTAGCACTGAAAAGAAAACAGAAAAATTAATGGTTGAACAAAGAAATTGAAGACAAATGTGTTGATTTCGTGTGGCGATGGTAAGCTTCTAAAGCATTTCTATCAACTCCATCATCGAGAAGCGCGTGGCTTTCTTATGCCCAAAATTTTCCTACATTTTTTAGTTATTTCTCATTCATAACCTTTTCTCTTTTGGGTTAACACATGTAACATGTTCACCAATTATTTGTCCTACAATAAAAACTAACAATTTGGTAAATTTGGAAAGTGAACGAGAACTAACCGTAATAAATTCCAGAGCAAACCGACTAGTCTATTTCTCTTGAGTTCTCTCATTCTGCAAAAAGAAGAAAATTTTAACTTACGAGACAAGTCTCAAGACTCTTAACTAGTAATAGATGCCATAAATATCTCTTCTTCAATTAAAAATTTCAAAAGTGTCATCTTGTTCAATGTATTTTCACGCGAAAATTAATCAAAACAGAAAATACAACCGTTAATGTCAAAATTCATATTATTTGTTTTAATTTTTAAATTATTAATTTAGCTTTATCTTTATCAATTACTGCCATTTTGTATAATTTTATTTTACATGTAATTAGGAACATATTAATATTTGATGGTAAAGGGAATATATGGAGAGGGAAGAAAAACTACTATATATTTTTATTGATTTCATTGATTAAAAGTTAAATCGTTGTTCTTTTTAAGTCGCTTTGCGGCCGAAGAATCAAATAATTATAACCGGTAATCTCCGGTTAGCAATGAACAGTCGACCACCAAATCGGGACCTACCTACTCTTTTCATTTTTTGCCTTTTGAACGTTTTACCAAAATACCCTTACCTGGTCAACTTACCTTTTGAGTTTCTTTTCGTCTCTCTGTCCTCTATATCAATCTCCATAATCTTTTTATTTCCTTACAAAAAGTATTATATTTCATCGTATAATCATATCATTTAACCATTATTCTTGTAAAAAGAAAATCTCTCTCTCTTCAAAAAAAAAAGGAAAATCTCTCGTGTAAAAAAAAAATACACTTTCAAGTTGAAACCCCAAAGTCCAAGCCATGAAAGCTCGAACTTGGTTGGGTAACTTGGTTTAATGGAACAAATTTATTGCCGTCTGTTGTGTGTTTGATCTTTTGGGTGATAAGAGTAAAAATCTACGTGGTTTTTTTAGAACCAACAAATATACGAAGAAACTAGAATGATATTTCTCTCTACCTATGTTAAACAACCAATGTTAAGTTAACATGCACCATTAAGATTACGTTATAAACAAATACAACTAATAAAGCTGGAACTCTTTTTAAAACAATGGTTGGAACTCCAGATTTGTGTTAATGACTTAATAATTAATACATATATGGTGGAGAAGAGTCGAGTTAGGCAAGGCAGAAGTAGGACACGTGGTGTTTTATTCACAATCATACATTATGTTAATTTAAGAAACTATTACAGAAATATAAAGTAGTCAAGAATCAAGATTTCAAATAAAAAACTAAGGTGGAAAGTATTTTGGATGATATAGTTGCTAAGCGAATTTTTACTCATTATGATTCTGCCTTCACGCAACCTACCAAGAAATGTCAAAAACTTTATGTGTAGGTTTATTTTAATGCGAGTAATTCAGATTACAGAAGGCTTAAGGTAATTGTTTAATGTAAAATGCAGTAGAGTTTTCATAAATAAAAGGTAAAAGCTTTCGAATTCACTTTTTTAAAAAAATTATTGTCAACACTAGTTCTCATTATCATTATATTATTCGTTATTTTCACATAACACGCATATATTTAATGTTTTATTGTTTCAACTCTATAAAATTTAGTAGCACACAAAAATACTGTTGAAATGATTAATTAATGAAAGTTAAAATGCTTAACGACTTAATTAGAAATCTATTTTTAATAAAAACTAATATCCTATTTTCTCCAACAACTACGCAATACATATTCGATTTACATTCAAGCAGATAATTTTCTTCTAGCAACAGAAGATTTTTGTATTCATAGTAATTACTAGTTCTTTTACACTGTATCATATCATATAGTACAATTGATAAATGCAAATCTGCAATAAATCAACGCCCTAATTAAAAGTCAATATCTACACAAAATATCAGCATAATATTTGCATTTCATTTAGAAACAAAAACATATTTTGCATACAAGACCTAAGTAAAAAGCATCGATACCCGCACATCTCGACAATGTTAATATCCCAATTAACATCCAATTATAAGTACCGCAATTAATTTTGGATAATAATTTTACATGTAGAGACATATAAACCACGATTTGTGGTTCAAACCTATAAAGTGCGAACAAACCCCTAACTTTTAGTCCCCAATAAATCATATTTTAATCATTTTTTTAATTTTTTCCATTAAATATAAGTACTTATAGTATAACATAAGCAGCTTTTGGATTTTCGATAGGGCCAACTAGTTGTTTAAAGTGGCAATTTGCTTCTACAAATTTGGAGGGCCCTTTGTTCTCATAGGCAATTTGAAACCTATCTTATGTTTTTTCCTCCATTTTCTTTTGTCCTGTATACAATTGTTAAGACTCGGGCAAAGTTATGGAAGGTAGGCCTATTATAAAACCAATTAATTAAACCCTAAAAACGAGAGTATAATAATAGCGATACCGTATTATATGAGTATTAATTAATAATTGTTATACCATATTGCCGGCGATCGTTTATTCTTAAAGCCTTAAACATTTCTTTTGCATTTGGTCAACCTGATAATGACCATATAAGATCATAACTTTCGTGCTAATAGCTTTTAACATCTTATCTCTGCATTTGGTGTATAATATAAATTCTGTACGATAAGAGTGACGAATATAACATCATAATTTTAAACGTTTCGTTCTCTTTTAGTATGCTGTTTCAATTTGGGATCATATCTTATTGCATATATTATGTGTATATAAACTTCATTTACTGTATCTATTCTTTATGACACAAGAAAAAAGATATAGGGAAAAAAAGAGTTTTACTTACTAGAGAATTATAAAAGTTGCAAGGTGACAGTGCTCATGTTTTATTGGAAGAGGTAAAAGAAGGGTACGAAACGGAAACATCGCACTTGCATGTGAAATCTAGTGCTACTTTGATTTGAAACCCAAGTGGCATGTTTTTGTTATTTTCTCCTATTTTTAGGGCTTTATTTAAAGTTCAAATAATACGCCAAAACAGGGGTTTTTTTTTTCACGGAGATTTCATAAACATATACAGAGTTTTCACATGAATACACAGTCTTAGGTAGATATAGCTGTTGTCCAAAAAACAAAAGAAGGTACAGATTGCTTAAATTTTACATAATTATATTTACTTATTTAATAAACAGATTGAAAGAAGAAACTAATAATTATATTTATTTATTTAATAACCAGATTGAAAGAAGAAACTAATAGGAAATCAATTATGTATTTGTTATTAATTGTAAAATATTCTAGAGTATTTGTTATCGTAACTGTAAGAATTATTATTACTTGAACGTAATCTAAGAACAGTTATTGTTTTGTTTCTTTCTTCGAGATGTGTATTAATTTAAACGTAATTTAGTAACTCGAATTTCAATTACGGTAACAAAAATATTCTAGAACCTGTCCAAATAAAATAAAAAAGAAAAACTGTTCAGACGCTAGTGCAAGTAAGTGACGGACACGTGGCGTGATTAGCCGGTAATCTTGTTAAGTAAAGAAGGAAACGGAGGCTATCCACAAGCCCGAAGTATTGGAAATTTTGGGAATGAACCAAACTCAGTTACAGAGAGAGTTTATAACGTAACAGACTGTGATCACAATCCAACGACACAGAAACACAATCAAAAGACACGTGTCGTGATCGTAGATCAGGTTAGTCTCGTGTTTTCGTAAATAACATGTCAGGGGAGAGAGAAAACATTCGGTTAGAAAACGGTGAAACGAAACTATTTGCTGTGTGAAACAAGACAGATGCAGGTGTGTTTGAGAGTCTCAGCATCGCATCCTCACCGTACGATCGTTTCGTAAAGGGTTAGAAAAGTAAATTTAAATATCTGATCGGACGGCTTTAAAGCCCTTCGCTCTTTCCTTTTATATTTCGTCACTATCACCTCAAAATGCCATAAGAGAAAGCAACTCCGTCTTTTCTCTCTCTAGATTTTCTCAAGAGTATCTAATCTCTCTTTCTTTCTTTCCAATTTTATCATGCGTTTCATCGAAATTCGGTAATTTTTCAAAATTCTGATCTCTTTTTCTTTTCTTTCTCCCTTCCTAAATATTTTGAGAGGAAATTAAAAAAAATGGCATCTGGATTCCCCGGCGGCGGCGGTGGACCGGAGTTTTACGGCGTCGGTGGTAGATCTATGACTGGAGGTCCCGGAACCGTCATCAACGCCGGTAACAATAATCCTCAGCCGACGTATAGGAACCAGATTCCCGGAATTTTCCTCGATCAGATCGGAAACAGAGTCTCCGGTGGCCATGGATTCGCCGGGAAACGGACTCTGGCTGATTTTCAAGCGGCTCAGCAGCAACATCATCATCAGCAACAGCAATCGTTTCATAATCAAGCAGCTATCAACGCTTTTCTTCTAAGGTCCGTGAAGCCTAGAACTAATTTCCACAATCTTCAGTCGCCGATGATCGATCTCACGTCCATTAACGATATGAGTTTGTTCGGTGGTTCTTCTCAGCGTTACGCCTCACAGTTTCTTCCGAATCTCAGGTCTCAGGCGCAGCAACAGTCGGATTTGGGTTTATTTGGTGGGGTCCGAATGGGATACGGGTCGGGTATTCCGACTTTATCCGGCGTACCGTGTATCGAACCGGTTCAGAACGTAAACCGGGTTGAGGAATCGGAGAACATGCTGAATAGTTTAAGAGAGCTTGAGAAACAGCTTTTGGACGATGACGACGAGGGTGACGCACAAGGCGGCGATGATGACGTGTCTGTTATCACGCATTCAAACAGCGACTGGATACAAGGCCTCGTGACTCCGAACCCGAACCCGGTTTCGTCTTCTTCCCCGAGCTCTTCCTCCTCCTCTTCCTCGCCTTCTACAGCTTCCACGACGACGTCGGTATGTTCGAGGCAAACCGTAATGGAGATCGCGACGGCGATCGCGGAAGGGAAGACGGAGATAGCGACGGAGATTCTGGCGCGTGTTTCTCAGACGCCGAATCAGAGGAGGAATTCCGAGGAGAAGCTGGTTGATTTCATGGTGACGGCGCTTCGAGTGCGGATTTATCCGGCGGAGAGCTCCGTCCTTCCTTCGCCGGCGACGGAGTTGTACGGGAAGGAACATCTAACCTCGACTCAATTGCTCTACGAGCTGTCTCCTTGTTTCAAACTCGGTTTCATGGCGGCTAATCTCGCCATTCTCGAAGCCGCTGGTAACAACGACGGCGAGGGAATGACGATGCACGTGATCGATTTCGACATCGGTGAAGGTGGACAGTACGTTCACCTTCTACACGCGCTCTCTACGCGCCGTCACGGTAAGAATCCACCGGTGGTTAAAATCACCGCCGTGACGAACAACAACGACCGGTTTGCGGTCGTCGCCGATGGTGGAGAAGATAGATTAAAAGCCGTCGGAGATCTTCTAAGCCAACTCGGTGACCGAAACGGTATCTCCGTTAGGTTTAACGTGGTGGCGGGTTTAAGACTCGGTGATCTGAGCCGTGAATCGCTCGGCTGCGATTCCGACGAGCCTTTGGCCGTGAATTTGGCTTTCAAGCTCTATCGTGTACCAGACGAAAGCGTATGTACGGAGAATCCGAGAGACGAGCTTCTCCGGCGCGTAAAGGGACTCAATCCGCGCGTGGTGACTCTAGTGGAGCAAGAGATGAATTCCAACACGGCGCCGTTTTTGGGCCGAGTGAGCGAGTCGTGCGCGTGTTACGGTGCGTTGCTTGACTCGGTTGAGTCTACCGTTCCGAGTTCTAACGTGGACCGTGCCAAAGTTGAGGAAGGGATTGGCCGGAAGCTGGTAAATGCGGTGGCGTGCGAAGGAATCGATCGGATCGAGCGGTGCGAGGTGTTCGGGAAATGGCGGATGCGGATGAGCATGGCCGGGTTCGAGTTGATGCCACTGAGTGAGAAGATAGCTGAGTCGATGAAAAGTCGACTCAGTAACGGTAAAGGAGTCCACCCGGGTTTTACCGTTAAGGAAGATAACGGAGGTGTGTGCTTTGGGTGGATGGGACGGACACTCGCTGTCGCATCCGCTTGGCGTTAACTTCACACTCTTTTTTTATTATTATTTTTATTTTTCTTCTTATTATTACCATATTATTATTGTTGTTATTAATTTTCGGGATATTCTGATATTATTATTATCATTGTGATTTTTCCATTTCGAAGTGTATTAATATAAAAAAAAAATGGAGGATCGGAGGAGAAAAAGGAAAGGTAGGAATCTTATGTAACAAAGAAAAAGGGCTTTTAATATTTTACTAATAATAAAAGGAAAGAGTGATTGGGTTTTAGGGAATTTCTTAAGGTTATTTAATATTCTATTATTGTAATATCTTGTCAATATCTTACACAATCACTAAGATATTACAGAATTTATGCCCTAAAAAGCTAATATCTGATGAAATTTTGTACTAGAATCTCGCAGGTGTAACAAATATTACAACTTGACAGATAATGAGTCTTACACATATCATACCTACTAATTATTTATTATCCCCATTAAATTTTGTTTTTTTTCAATACTAGAGGGCAATCCGTTAATAACAAACTGCATCATATACTATGACCTTAATTAGTATTCTCATGACAATTTTAATCTGTTATTGAAGCTAATTACTACTCACTGGGTTTAGAAATAAATATCTTCGAATATTATCATAAAACATGCCAATTAAAAATTTGTCGTGCCGGAATTGAAATTCTTGTCGTACAAATATACATATTTTATGGTATCTATGCGTTTGATAATTATGATTGGACTTCGTCAATCTTAACATGGGTAGTTTTAACGTGAGTGAATATGTTGGTGAGAATATAATAAAAGAATAATTATTTTTTTGGAAATTTAAAGGGGAAAAAGATATGGTGACTTTTATGGCCATGGACCTCATGGTTCAATTATTTAAACACTAATAAAAGTTGGCGTTTGCTGGGTCCATTTCTCATGGAATTCGATGTTGTAATTTTTTAGTTGAAATTCATATAATGATCCATCTTTACGCAAAACTTGTAAACTCCGTGTCCTTGGAATATTTAATGCATATATGAAATACTACAAACCTGGTCATTAGAAAAAGATAATATTATTATTGTTTGGTGCAAGCTGTTTGCGGCTAAAAATATATGTATAATCTTTCCAAAGACCTCTCTTCTTATATACTAATCTCTTGTAACTTGTTGGTTAATCAATATTTATGTATTTCTTATATACGCAACCAAAAACGTGTGTAGTTTTTGATTGGCTTGATATTACTATCACAAAGATAAAACTTGAACCAGAATTTATTCATATAAAATTTTAGCATAACAATTAATACTTTAAGAGCCAAAACTCTAGGATAAACTGTTGATCAAGCATGTAGTTTCATGTTTCATGAACTTACAGATTCCATAATACTAAATTACTAATGATGAATATAATCCATGTTATGGGTATTTGTCAAAATAATCCACATAGATAGAAAATTCTAAAGGCAATAGTCAACTGCACACGTTAGTTTTCTATCTTTTATAACTCCAACGGAGTAAACTAAAGAGTTTAATAAGAGTATTGCTTTATAAAAAATGGAAGAAAAGTTTATAAGAATTTTCATATATTCATCGGAAATGAATCTCATGAGGTCGTAACATTTCTGGTCCTATCTGAGTTGTGATGTAACCAACTTTCCCGATTACGACATTGTATTATACAGTCATATGAAATAAATGAAGGCTGAACTTTATATTCATTTAGTTATAAATTTGTTTTTAATGAAAAACTGAAAGAATTTAATTTCTGTGGTCATTTATGACAACTCACACATCTTATGCAGTTGAGGTTGGCATATTTTTCACTTGACCTGAAGGAAGGAGTGAACCTACAAGAAAAGAAAGTAACAAAAGGCTTTACACACGCTTGCAATAAATGTAAGATGGTGAGGGACATGCATATGTATATAACGCATGACACATATGTATACTATGTAGGCCAAGTGCATTATATTGGACCACTAAGTTACAGTTTATTCATTTTTATAAAAATATTCAAATTCTTTTAATGAATTGGTGTAATTCTGTTTTCAAATAAACAACAGAACAATATGGATATAATTTTGTTTTTAAATCGATTGTTCTTGTAGAGTACCTACATGTGATGGAAGCCCATACAAAGACGAAATATTAATAAATTTCCTCGAAAATGAGTTTAGATAATATTTGACTTTAGATTTGTTGAAATTTTAATTAATCGAATGCTGAGATTCAAAATAAACTGAAATGTGTTAGAAGTATTATCATATAACCCATAACACCACGTTGATTTGGATTTTTCTTTAAGCAAAATATAGCACTGTGTAGCAAATATTTGTTTTTATATCAATTGCATTTTCAAGTTTTAGATAAAGATGTAGCACTATCCTTTTTACCGTGCATTACTGTTTTTTTTTCTCTATATCCGTCGAAGTATATCAACTATATGAATATGTTCATATAAAATCCTTTAACAACAAAAAACTATGTTCATATAATATCATATATCGGTATGTAAAATTTGATATACCTCCAACAATAAAATGTAGATTGGTCGTTTATTCAGAAAGTTATTTACTAAAAAAATGTTAGTTTAATTATCACAGTTGACGTGGATCGAGTTACACACATTCTAATCATAAGCCATTTGAAAATAGAAAATAATAATATTTGAACCTGAAAACAAAATTTAACCAAAAATATATTAAAATAAGTACAAATAATACGATAATTACTAAGTCACTCGTCCGGGGGATATACAAAAATATGTGCACGCATCATTCACTTTCACAGAAAAAGATATATTCCCATCATCCCATGTTTCATTTAGGATTTCATTTATTATGGCATTTAGTTTTATTTTTATTTTCTATTCTTTGGTAGTTTGAAAACTGAATATATGATCTCTAAAAGCTGCAGATCTCTCACATAAATCTCTCATATTTAGTATTAATAAACAATAAATATTATTTTCTTCGTCTTTTTATATACAATGTTTAAAGTTTTTACATATAAATTAAAAAATTATTTAGTTTTGTATCTTTCCAAAACAAAATATGTTTTATCATTAATTTCAAAATAATTTAACCAATAGAAAAATAATATACAAAATTTAAACATTTAAAATAACAAAAATCTAATTATTTTTTGCCTAGATATATGAGAACATAAACACATTTTAAACAAAAAAATAATCTTTAAAACATTTTATATAAAAAACGGAGAAAATAGTATATTTGAAAGATTATAAAGTGGGTTTCTCATTTTTATTAAGAGATTTTCATTATAAAATAATACTGTAATATTTATTAATTTATATTTTATAAGAGATTATCTAAAAGATCTTCAACGAAGATTGTCTAACTCTCCACCCTGAAAATATAAGTAAAAAATATGAGATATATATTAAGTATTATTATTTAAAAAACAAAACTCCCTTAGATATTTGCTTTCTTACAGTTAACTCTATACAAAGAGAGAATTTGTTTTTTTCTTTTTCCCAAAAAGAGCTGGGAATCTTAGAACCATGTATTATCATATTTTAATTATAGTTTTGTAATTAATCATATTATGATAACAATTTAACTGGTGGCTTCTATTTACACAACATTAATCGTCCGACAAGTTCAAAAAAAGAGATGTTGAATGGTATGTAGTTTTTTTTCACGTTTTGAAAACGTGATTTCACTAAATATATACTATTCATAATATTAAGCACTGAATGATAAAAAAAGAAAAGTAATATGCTATTTTTTAAATTATCATGCACGTTTTAAATTTATAACTAATTTAGAAAAAAAAATTATTCATCTAATATATACTAGTTTTTAGCGTTTTGAATTTATTCAGTTTTCAGTTTACTCGTCTTATTGATTCTGCTAATTTATTATTCAGCTATTCCACTATTCTGTTATGAATAGGGGTGGGCACAAAAACCATAACCAAAAAAACCAAACCATACCGAACCGAAAAAATGATATGGTTTGATTATGGTTAAACTTAAAAATCTATTTGGCCATCATTTTTTTATAGCTTTGGTTTAGGTTTAGTTTGGTTAAAAACCGTCAAACCGAAAAGTTTTTCGGTTTTTAAACTAAATTTCAAATAATTTATATTTTTCTAGTTTCATAATTTAGTTCAAGTACATATTTTATTACTGGGCTTAATTATCTTTATAATTTACTAATTTAACTCATAAATTTAAAATATAATATTTTTTAAAAATATTTACATATAAATAATAAAGTAAATTTTATTTTTTCAATAAAAAAACACATGATTAACTCTTTTTTCTTCACATTCAAGTCTTCTAGTTCTAATTCCAAGCTTATAGGTATTAAATTTTAATCTAGCTTTGCTTATTGTTTTAAAATTATCGATTATAAAAGATTTGATAATTTGTTTGTTTCTCTGCTTTAAAATCTATTTTTATTGATGGATTGTTTTATGATTTAGATTCTATTTTTTGAACTTATTGTCTTATTTCACTCATATCTATTATTATTATTTCTATTAGTTTGAATCAAAAAATTTCGTAATAGTATAATTCCAAAAAAATCGAAACCAAACCATACCAAACCGTAAAAAACCAAACTACACCGAACCGAAATATATATAGCTTTTATATGGTTTGAATTTTTGTAAAACCGATAAACCGTAAAACCAAAGAAACCGAACCGAAACCAAACCGAAAACCGAAGTGCCTAACCCCTAGACATACTAGTCAAACCCACTAGCTTTTGAGCATTTTGAGTTTATCCAGTTTCCAGTTTATCCATCCTATTGATTCTATTAATTTATTATTCAGCTATTCCACTATTCTGCTATTAAATTGACATATCAGTCAAACCCTAAAAAGTAAAAAAGCGTTCGGCATTGGCGTGAACTCTATTTGTTTTTGCGAAACTAATAATCCAATGAAGTATAACTTGTAATTTCAAACGTTACCAATCTAACAAAATCAGTTTCAGCGTTTGTCATTGCTATAAAAAACTTTGTTCAGCTGAGATGTTTTTGAGCTTTCGTCATTTTACTATTTCATTATTCCACTATTCATATGCTATACCAGTGTCACTTTATGAGATTACACAGTTACCATTTTAAAAATAACAATATTGTTAGTGATAGGTTTAACACCCTTAACTAAAAACCATTTATAAATTAAGAAAATGCTCATTTAAAATCCTAATTTCACCTTCTGAGTTAGGTCGCTTTGATTAAATGGAAATATTACAAGATTTACTCAAATCGCGGAGAAAAAAGAAAGTGTATCCTGAGGAGAATAAAAATTATCCTTATCCCGAATGAGAAGAA